ATGCCTAGCTGGGCAGTATAAATCTCTTAGTGGATTTCCAGAATGGATGTGGATACCTTTCATAGCCAGTGAGGTTATCTTCTTTCTAGTCTTCAGCTGTACTTCACTGTTGGGTTGAGGTACTGGATGAAGCTCAAGGGGAACAGTAGTCAGACTAGTATCTGGCATCTAGTGTAGAATTGGTCTTCCCTGACTTGTCATTTAAAAGATGGTAGGTTGGATTTAAATACCATTCCCCTGAAAAAAAGCATCAAATATCTCAGATGAGATTTCCAGAGGTGTCTACTTTTCAGAGATGAAAGGAGAGATGGTTGGGCAACTAATTCTGTTTGAGACACCTACATTTCAGATTTTACCAAAGTTAGGGCAGCTGAACTGAAGCCTCACTGGGAGCTGGATTATCAGCTGTGGGAAAGAGAAGAAAGCTGAGGAGTGCTGCCCAGAAAGTGGGCAGTCTTCGTTCATCTCAGAGCCCATGAGTTAATGTAGGCTGAGTTAATGTAGTGCTGTAGGAAAGAGCTAAAAAGATCTGCTATAGGGCTTGGCAGAGTTAGTTGCCTGAAAAACAGTGTGTGCTCCTACAATGTATGTGCTGCAGACTATGTACCTGTTGGTCTGGCCATCCATCCTGCTTTGATTGTCTTTCTAGCTTGCAGAAGTTATTCCTCTGTGTCCCAAATGCTTATTTGCAGCACTCAAAATATCTGGTGTACTGGTGATGGTGACAGGCAAGATTTTGGGAGACTCTTTACAATCAGCTTGATCTGTGCAGTCGCCATTCTTGTATGGCTGCTGTGCTGGAGAGTTTTCCCTATCTTACAGCTGCCAGACAAGCGTTTCAGGTCGTTAGGTTTACTGACATTCATTGGTCATACTCCTAGAAGAACCTAGAGCTGTCATTTAGGATACAGCCCTGATACTGAGCCAGGCCTTTCTAGAATAAGTTGAATAGGAATAGATATCTTTATTTCCCCCTCTCTCTGCATTATAGGATCACCGTTCCCTTTTCATACCACTGTTCCCCTACCCTTGTATGGATGGCTGTCATTACTGCACATCTCCAGAATGCAGGGAGCAGCATCCTATGAGATCCAGACTAATGGTGTGCTGCAAATTGCTTGTAGGAATCACCCATTTAGCCCCATCTTCCCATTCAAGGCTTATGCACCGTTAAATTGCTCTTTCTTCTTGTCCGCAGTGCGTAAGCAAGAGATCATTAAGATAACGGAGCAGCTGATAGAAGCCATCAACAATGGAGACTTTGAGGCATATACGTAAGTACAGCTGGCTGGCGCGTAGATGCCTCCGGCAGGTTGTTTACCCGTTTGTGCACAAGTGCTGATGTGCTGGTGGCAGCCGTTTAGCCATACACCATAGAAAGCATCGTGTTTTTTAGCCTCCATCAACTGTAGTTGGGATGTGGTTGATTCCTTTATATGAAGTTCAAGTAGTAGCCAGGTATCAAAAAGCAAGAGTAAAATATCCTTTTGTAAGGGAGGGGAGAGCAGTGAGGTGGGCAGAGAGGGAAGAAATGAAAACAGTTTCTATGACAGAAAGGGAGAGGTCTGTGTTATGTGAGACTAACCAGCACCAGCTCTGTGTTGCTGCAGTGGGCCTCAGTCCTCCAAGGATGTGACCCTCGGAGTAAGGATATTGCTAAGCGCACGCAGGTTGCGACGCAGCGTTTACAGGTTCTTCAATGTGTAAATAACCTTTGGGTTCAGGGCAGGTTCTAAGGCTGTGGTGTGTTTTTTGTTTTGCTTTTCTGTTTTTCAGGAAAATCTGTGATCCTGGTTTGACCTCATTTGAACCTGAAGCACTGGGAAACCTCGTTGAGGGAATGGATTTCCACAAGTTTTACTTTGAGAACTGTGAGTGGTTAGATTTGGTGATACCAAAAGCGTTTTCTCACATCATCTTTTATGCCATAACTTTGGCATTTGGAGGAAAAACTGGCAGTGCTTTTGCAGACTGTGTAGATGATGAGGTGTTCACAAGAGCCAGCATGCTTTCCCTCTAAAGCCTTTTTTAGCAACAGTTTCACTTCTAAGCCCCAGTTACCTTCACTACCAAGTTCCAATTTGCCTGGTGCAAAGTGGGTTTAAAAGGTGAGGGACTGGATTTTCTGCTGATATGGAAATGGAAAAATGAACGTATACTGATGGAAACAGTCTATATGTTTGACATAGGGATGCTATATAGTCACACATAAAGACAGTAGAGCCTTCAGTTTTCCCTGGACTGGTTCAGATCTCTAACACCTAATGAACCCCTTATGTGGATACAAGGGTCACCTTGCAGCTGGGGACAGGAGAGTTGAGAGAAATGCTGTCACTTATAGGGGTATGGGTAACTCCATACTCCATAGTTGCCTCCCTTCCTGGATGTCTCCACAGGATGAGATAACTGGAAAGTTAAATCCTGATCTGTTTAATGTGTTTTATTTGGGAGGGGTTAGTTCAAGGTCCTTACCAGGCAATTCTTAGTGCTCAGTGTGCAGAGAGATCGTGTCTCTCAAGTACCTGTTCTGGAGTGACTTCTCTGTTTTCTGGGGCCTGCTCATGTTTAATGCAGGTCTAGCTAAAAGGTTTCCTGATTATTGACTCTTGCAGCAATATTCTGTTAATTAAAAGGTCTTTTCCTATATCTGAGAAAACAACACCACTGATGTATAGAGAAGAAGCATGAGCAAAGAGGCCAGGCGATTCCAGGGAATAATAAAGGCTCAGTTGAGAAAGAGGAGGACAGGAGGTAGGGGAAAGAATTGCTTGGATTTTGCCTGGAAAATTGCAGGAGCAATTTTTGTTGTGTCCCAGAATCCAGCTGGAGGTGAGTAGAATACAAATATGTTGGAGGGGAAGGGAAAGTGTTTTTTCTTAGTGATGGAATGAAGCTAATGGTTTTACGTGTTCTGCCAGTACTGTCAAAGAACAGCAAGCCAATACACACGACCATCCTGAACCCCCACGTGCACGTCATCGGGGAGGACGCTGCCTGCATCGCCTACATCCGCCTGACGCAGTACATCGACGGCCAGGGCCGGCCCCGCACCACGCAGTCGGAGGAGACCCGCGTGTGGCACCGCCGCGATGGCAAGTGGCTGAACGTCCACTATCACTGCTCTGGAGCGCCCGCAGCGCCTCTCCAGTGAGGATCCAGCACGGGTATGGGCTGGCAGGGAAGGAGCAGCTGAGGCTGCTGTGGGGGGCAGCTCAGAAACATTTTAGCTGCCTGTGAGAAAACAGTGTTCCTGCTAAAATCCCTGCTAACAAGGCTAAAAATCCCACTAATCAGCTAGTGTTCCTTTCCCTGCATCCCTGTTTTAGGGATTGCATAGGATCATCTGCCATTCCTAACAATCTGAGCCAGCTGTGCCTGAGGGTAGCTGCCCCTGTCCCGCCAGTGCTTCCTCACAGATGCTCAGCTCGGGGCTTGGGCAGAGGGCTGATTATTGCCCTGCAAAGCAGGGGGCAAGGAGTACCTCAGGGGGCATCCCCCTTCCTGTTTCCCAGGTTTCAGGGATTTACTCCAGTCCATTAGTACAGATATGTTTATGGGAATGTCAAACTCTAGAAAACATATCATAAAATCTATATGCTATCATTGCTATGCCATAAGAATAAATATTCATACAAACTTTACTACCGACTTTGCGATTAGTTAATGCTATTCAATGTGCAGTATTGAGAAAACATACAGGAAAAGAAACCTAATGAAATAATATCACAGGATTTAAAATATCCCCAAGTGGCTTGCCATCATTTAGTATGAAAGGAAGCTTTAATCATAAAATTTGACATGAGCAAAGAATCATTTCCTCTCCTTGAAGGACAGCAGTTTGGTTCCATTTACAAATGCTATTTAGGCACTTTAGCTTGTTTATTGCCTTACTTGTTTCTCTTAGATGTACCAAGTCCTTCTGCCTCCTTTTGTTGTATGCCGAAGTGTTATGTTGCAGTACTTTTACAGATCTAAGTTCTCTAATCTTAAGACATTCTTACTGTTTGTCATCTATTTAGTAACAAGCACAGAATCTTCCACAATTTAGAGTTTTTATTGGTTGTTAGTGTTGATATACCTGGGGAATGTGCACCTGAGTTTATTTTATTGTCATTTCACTGTAAATGATTCAAGTATAGTTACTATTTGAGTCTTAGATCTGTGTACTACTGTGATTGACTACTGCTGGTCAATCAGCAGTATTTCCAGGGAGCAAAGGCAGGAGTGAGGCGGATAAAGCCCTTTCAGTGGCGGGAGGGAAATTATTTGTACAAGTTTGCATCAAAGAGATGTCAAAAGACCTCCCTCCTGGATTTAGTCTACTGTGAAGTCTCAAAAAACATACAGAACAAATTAATAAGCTAAAGATCAGTATGAGTCAGTGGCTGTGCCTAGGAGTTCTGAGGACGCTTAGGAATGAGGAGCCTCAGCAGCTAGAGAAAAGGCACCTTCCCTTGGCTTGGCTGCTTGACTGTTGCCCCTCCTCCAAAAGGAGGTTTTGGAGAGCTCCGGCAAGCTGCAGTGTAGGAACCATTTCCAAAGTACAAAATATTGGTTAAAACAATATTTTTAACACCTGTAAACGAAATTGAAGTGCTCATGTGCATTTTTGTCTTCCAAAGGAAGTCAAACTAACTATGTGCAAGTACAAGTGGGAGCAGAGTGATCAGCGGGGTCAGCCATCTGAACACATCAGCCATTTTGGAGCAACAGTCCAAGTGCAGAGAAGGATAAGGATGAAGGAATCAAATGGATGATGATACTAAATTAGAACCAGAGTTCGGTTTTGCTTAAGTCACTTTGAAAAGAAACTAGCCTTAAATGCAAGCTGTCTGAGAATAAACAGAACTTCTTTGTAGAGAGGTGGCAGGAATTGAGAAGAGAGAGGACTGATAAGATAGTTTGTGAAAAAAGATTAGGTTGTGTGAAAACCTAAGAAATGGTAGAAAACTAAACAGATGATCTTGGCTATTCTTTCACCTGGGAAGATGATAGTATGAAACTGATCAAAATAAACCCAGTTATTTGACACAATTAGTCAGGAGAGGCCTTTGGTATAAACTGTTCTTGGAGCTTTGCAAAACTGAAGAATATACAGTATCTATGGAGCTGCTGAGAACTTCCAGAGAAGAACTTATGCAAACTTTATACGTTCAAAAAGAGAAAAAGAGAGAGAGGGGGAAAGAGGAGGAAAGAGGGAAAAAAAATACTCCTTACCAAGGCAAAAGCCAACTGGGGGAGACAGACTCTTCCTTGGGGACAGATTCTTCAATCACCCTTTGGGAAACTTCAACTCCCGAGACATACCCTGTTGGGTAGTAAACCCCACTCTGGTCCAGTCAAACAAGTAATTTGTTTTAGCACGTAATTTGTTTTCACTGATACATGGAGCCAGTGCACAGAAGGGGAAGCGTGCACCTCTTGTCTTTGGGGCTGTCCTGACCAGCCCTGATCTGCTTGGCATTAGGAAGTGCTTATCCCACCACCCAATAATTAGTCTGTAGGAAAACTTGTTTTATTAATTGTGTACAGCTAACTTGTGGCTTTATTTCCTTCCGTATTTCATCCCGTTTTCTCCTGTCCTTTCTGGGTGGATGCTACGTGTTCCTGACTGCAGCAACTTGTGGAGATACTCAGCTGGAGGGCAATATCTTCTTAGCAAGCAGCTCTGGAGTGCCTGAGTGACAGCAAATGGTCATGTCTGTTTTGACGTTAAAAAAATAAGTAAATAAATACAAATTACAAACAGGCAGCAGCCAAATGCACGAAACCCTGCATGCATCTGATGCTCCGGGCGCTGCCTTTCTGTTGTTTTCCATGGATCCATCGTGTCTGTTTCTGCTGTACGAAGGTGTTTTTAAATCTTAAAAAAAAAAAGAAAAAGAAAAAAAAAGAAAAAAAAGACATGTTGTTTGTATAAAATAACAAAAACAGGAGTAATGCTAAATAAACGACAGATTATTCAACACGCTCCCCTCTCCCAGGGCTAAGAAAATGGCAGCAGCTGGAACATCTTGCAGAAATGAAGTGAAGGGGAAGGCAAAAGTGAAGGAGAGAGAAAGAGAGAGAAGGAGAGCAAGAAGGAGGCGGCTTGAGCAGGACTGCTGACCTGTGCTCCGCAGAGCCACGGGGCAAGCTCACGTGGCATTCGGGCTGTGCCGTGACCCGATCGGCGAGAGGTGGCGAGGAGACCCCAGGGGAGCCACTGTGAAGCTTGGGGTTCACGAGGGAGTAAAGACACTTCTCTCCCTGTTGCCCAGCAGACTGACTGACTTCAGCCTGAATTTCTTCTGCGCAGCAAGAACGCTACGGAAAGCTGTTTGCTCGGCTGCTGGATCCCAAAACAGACTTTGTGTTTAAAAAAAAAAAAAAATATGGAGAGAGATGTTGATTTAAAAGTAAAGGTGAAAGTAGGGATAAATAAAAAATGAATTTAAGTAAATATAACTTAAATAGAAGCTTGCTCTTCAGAGATACTGGTTTTAGAAACAGCCACTACCTGGCCAAACATGGATGTTTGAAGCCAGCTTATTTAATTTAACAAAAAAAAAAAAAAAGCCTTGCGCTAAGAGCAGAGAATTTTGAGGCAGAGGGTACATATATGGGATTTTTTTTTCCTTTTTTTTTTTTCTTCTTTCTAGTAGCTTAGTTGGGATCCACAGTGCTGCAGAACACGTGTTCCTTAGGAAGCAGACAAGAAACTTAGTGTTACGTTCTTCATGAAGACTTGCACATACACTCCTATATGAGGCATAAATAGCGTGTGTTTTTTATACTGAAATATATGCACCCATAGAACTAAAGGGGTTTACTGGCCTCCTGTTTGATTTGTTTGATCTCTGATTAAAGTAGCAGTGGGAGCCAGCAACCCCAGCCAGGTGCTTCTCCCTCCCACTAACCCATCTGATGTTTGTAAGTGTCATGTTTCCTAGTGTTTATTTGGGTAATTTTTCTATTTTTTACAGTGATGTTGTAACACAGAAAATTATCAGATCAGAACCTCAACAAACTGTAGCCGAAGGACTCCAGGCCACCTCCTGGTGTTGCCTCTGAGTGTTAGAGGATACCGCACGGATTCAGCAGAGGGTAAAGAGAATTAGCACATATGATCTGATGTTTGTCCTTTGGGCCAATTCATCTTCCTTTCTATCCTATGCTGGAAAGGGAGTCCGCTTCCTGTATTCATTAGCTGGGGAATGTGGAGTTGTTTTGTTGACCTTACCAAAAGTGGATCCTAGCCCCAAGAAGAAAACGGCTTTTCTGATGGACCCTTTTAGTAACAGGATTTATCTTGACCAAAGGGGAAGGCACAGGCTTACTCATTACTTACAGAAGTTGGGTTGGGCTTTTACCTGAATTTCTTTCTACCCGTAATCATTTTGGGATTTTTCCAAGGATTTGAAGTGATTGCACTGACAGCATATTAAGTGTGAGGCAACCTTTTTACAGGCTGTGGAAGAGAGGAAAGCTAATTTGGAATTTTAATCCTTATTTAACAGAATGCAGAAAGTAAAAGCTATTGCACAAAGTGGAGCTGTCACTTCGCGCCTTGTAGCCCTCTGCTGCCTTTGGTAGAGAGGTGCTATCCCACACCAGGATTAGAGCAGCCAACCCAAGATGAAGGAAAAGACCATCCATGCTTCCCAGGGTTTGTCTGAACACTCATACTTCTCTGCTTCCCTCTACCACCCCGGGGAGGAGTGTGGGGATTGAGTCCATAGGGGGCAAACTCTAGATTTTATTATTTCAAAACATTTTTAAGACTGCACTAAGCCAGCGAGTGAAGTGGAAAAGTAAACGGCCTTGCTATTTTATCCTGACATTTTTTAAAAAGCCACGAAGAGAGAGCAAATAGGAGATTACAATTATGCAGTTTTCAAAAGATAAATACAAACCATTATGCATGCCTTCTTTAGGTCTGATCTTCCTTGTCTCTTTACCTGATGATTATTCCTGATTAAAAAGAAAACCCTCTGTATTAAGTATCTGCATATTTCAAGAATAAATTTAAAAGAAAAAAGAACTTTTTTTTGGTTTTGCACAGTCTTGGAGACAAAATCTCTTTGGGTTTTTTGTTTGTTTTGTTTCCTTTTAAGTTAATGAGAACCTTAGCTTGGTATGGCCATTATCAAACACAGCTGTACACCTTTAGCATTCTTAATGTTCTCTTATGGGGCTAATATAAGCATCTATATAATATATATTATAAATATCACATTTTAAACAGGAAATGGAAGGCATTTGATGCAGAATTTTTTGCATGATATAGAAATAATTAAAACAAAGTTAGCTAGTGTTTGTTTGTTTGGTCTGAATGTTGGTAGAACCTTCATAGCTTTGTTACGATGAAACCTTGAACTGAAGATATTTAATAAAATAACATTTAAACAGTGCAAAGATTTGAGTGTCTCGCTCTTTCTGTTAAACCATGGGATGATGTGGTGTTGGCACTACAGGGATAAAGTCATTACACAAAGTTATTTTGGTGTCAGTAGATGACATGATTAAAAAAAAAAAAGACTTGTGTAAAAAGAAGATGACAAGCAGTAGCTTGTCAGTGGAAAAGACAGTCATGTTAATAACAACACAGGGACAGTAGAAGTTCCTAAAATGAACATTCTGGTGTTTTCCTGACAGGACTGGGGAATAATAGGGAAATGTGGCTTCTTGCCAAAGGCTAGGCTATCTGAAACGGGCAATGTTGTTGCTTCCTTTCGTGCTCTTTGTTTTCCTTGCCAGGTTTTCAACTGCTTTGTGGGATAAAATGTCCTTCCATAGGGTTTGCCTGTTTTAAATGTGTTGAATACAGGTTGCTTGACAGCTACTTTATTTGTTGGCAGGTGTGTTCTGTGTTCTAGGCTGGATTCTCTTGCAGAAGCACTAATCTAAACACTGATTTGCACAAATTTGCCTGTTCTAGCCATGTATAGTTTTCCAAACACAGGTTGAAGTTAGTTGGATTTAACCTTTCTTGTTTCCATGCTGCCTGTTTTCATTAACATTCCAGTTATGCTCCCTGGAGTGGATGTTGTTCCCCTTGGGACCTCCCCTGCCTTTGAATGTTTTGTCTTTTTAAGTGGTGCATGACAGAGCTGCAGCGTGGCTCCCCGCACCGCTCTCCTACGGCCACGGGTCCCTGTGGCACCGAGATGCGCCTTGCTCTGGGCCCTGGTTGTGGTGCAGGTCTGCGAGGAGGCAGGCAGTACCTGTCCTCCTCCTCCAGCAGGTCTGAAGGGAGCCCAGGTGCACCTGAGAAGCAAGGCCATGGGGAGGGGTGGCCTTTGCCTCGCTTCTGAAAGAGACTTCAGGTGCTTAATCCTCTCTAAATGCAGCAATTATCTCGTAAATAGGTGTCAGTTGCTGCTGCTTAAGGAGGTGATTTGCTTCACCTGCCCTGCGTAGCCAGTGTAAGACTGTCCTTAGTCTGTAGAGGGAGAAGGTAGAGTCTACAGCCCTTCCTACAAAGGACTGGAGATGTTCCAACCCCGCAGAGAGGTGCTGCTAGCTAGTGTCACCGTGCTCAGGTCCACGTCGCCGAGCCGGTAAGCTCTCTGCTGAGGCAGCGCACTGTGTCTTGGTTTCTGAAGAAATGTTTCAATATAGTCCAGTATGCGCTAGGAAAAATATACCTGTAAAGTAAGTGAAGATTTCACAAGAACCAGAGTAATTTAAGCACTATTACTGAAAGCACCATAGGCAGACTAATGCTTACGTTGAAAGCATTTGTGTGCTGCACATGTCGGGCCTTTTGGCGAGTTCCAGTGTGTGTCTGCTGTTTAGTAAAAAGGTGGTGGTGTTTCTCTTAAGTGTGTGCCTTTACCACTTGTAGTTGGTCTATTAGACCATCCAAAATATGTGCAGGTGGGATATGACATGTCCTAGAAAGAGTTTTCCATGCTATGTTTCCTTATGTGTGAGCTACCAGCAGGGATCTGCAATGGCACTGATCCGCAGCTTCATACTTGTGGTATTAGATAGAGTCTCAAGCTATGGTGAGCTTTGCTTGTAAGCTGGGTTAAGAATGAAGGAATTACATAAACACTTAGCTCTGTTCCCTGCCAGCCCTTCTCTTGGGCAGCAAATGCTGTCCTTGTGTTTTCAATGTATGTTCTCGCTCATCCTCCTTGTGTTGCATGTGGTCACTGCCCTACCAAGTTTCCTTGCTGGCGGGGTGTTGTACCGAGGGAGCCTGGTTCTGCCACTGCAGTGTCTCTAGTGAGGGCAGCGTCTCTAAAAACTTCAAGTTGGAATAACCCAGTGCTCTTTACTTCAAGCTCTAACAATTCAGCAGATGTTTTGTGTATAGAGCTGCACGTTTTGCTATCCTCCCATGTAAGGGAAGCGTTTGAACATGGTTTTCTAAGTTGTCCTGTCCCCCTAGCACGTGCACCCAAGCTGAGCGCTGCGTGGGAGGCCCTGGCTAAGGCGGGCGCTTGAGCAGTGATGCAGAGTAGCTGGGTGAGCTCCCGCGTTCCCTGAGAGTTCGAAAGGCTGGGGAGTGCACGCTAATGCATCTGGAATGCTTGTTTGTTTGGGTTTGGGAGAAATTCATTTTAGAGGTGGGAAAGGTGGTCCTTGGAGACAGTTAAAGTGGCTTTAGTGGAGGATTATGAAGTTTCTTTGGAGATCCTTAGTGCTGGAGACCTCCTTGCCAGGAGGAATGCCTGCCTGCCTATAAAGAGTGGAAACTTCCAGGTGTGTAGCATAAAAAAAATAAGTGAACCATTTCCTTAGCAAGTCTTAGGAAATAAAAATGCATATGCCTGCAGTTTAAGGCAACCTGGCTGCAGGCTTTTAATTTTTTTAATTAAAAAATAAAGTCAGGAAAACCTTAACTCAGAAATCCCCTTATATCATTAAAGGGGTATTTTAAAACACAGGCATTGGGTAAGGAGGAAAAAGGTGGCTGCCCCTCATCGGTGACAGTTTATAAAACTTCGTTCGGCATTGTTAGCCGTGAACAGAGGGGAAGGATGATATTTATTCACAAAATGATTCCATAAAGCCATCTCACCACTGTATGTTGACGGAATTGTGCTTTGGCCAGTATGGGATGATTACCATCTTGTCACAACCAATTTGTGTGTGTGCCCAGTGC